TCGTACATTATGTGTGCATATAGATAGGTTGAGTGCTTGATTAGAGGTAGACTTGCTCCTATAAGTATTGGTGTTTGGATTAGATATATTCAGGGTTATATTAGGCTGTTGTGGTATTTGTGTGGTTCTGCTAGGATTTTGGGATGGGTCTATAGATGAGGGTTCAGATTCACTAAAAGTTAGTTCAGAAATTGTTGGTGGTAAGGTTAATAGAGTATTTGTGTATGATTTAAGAGGTAAATTGTGTTCAGCATTAATAGAGCCTAATTATAACATGAAGTCTTTGCAATTTATCATGGCATGGAGCTTACTTATGAGATGAGATTCTTGTATTTTTATCATAGTTGCAGAGCTTAATCACCAAATATGAAGTTTTTGTATTGCTTGCGGTAGCCAGGTTTTTTGGCAATAGATAATAATCAGTAATATTATGTTTTTATTTTTAGCTATAAATTTACTTATTTTTCAACTTAATAATAGTTTCCGACTAGTGTTATGTAATTAAATTTGTATTATCAAGTAAGACATTATTATGATTCATTATCGTTACTGAAGTTACTTTGCGTATGTCTGAAAACCATAGTTCTCTCAAAAACAGACAAAAAATTTAATTGAGTGAACATATCATGCTATTAGATACGATTATTAACAAAAATGTTCAATAACTAAATTATCAGTAAAAGTTGTAATTTGACCATCATATACCCAAATTTTATATTTCATGATTCTTATGCAATTTTTCATATATGCCAAAAAACAATTAAAATATTTCACAAAAATCATATGTCAAACATTCATGTGATCATACTGGTATTAATTTATTGGCTCTGATCTATACGGAGGAGTCCAGATTTGCAGGACATAAGTATACATTCAATCAAAATGATTAGAGAAAGTCACATAGAGTGGATATCAAAAAAGTTGAAAAAAGACAACCCTTTCACATTTCATGTTACATATTCATGTAATCATATTGGTATAATAACAAAATTGATCCACATGAAGTAATCAACAAAATTGCTTCAAACCCTGCTAATACTAATTTTCTTGCTCGTGTACTTACATATTAT